GGGGGGGGGTCGGGGGGGGCCCGCGCTGCACGCACCGCACTGGCAGGCACCTCTGCCATTTCCTAGCGGCATCCATCGTCGGCTCTTCGCCAGGCCACGAGATTGCGACCACGCACCGCACATGCCGCCAGCCCCAAATCCCCGCTGCCCAGCTGGCGCCTCCACAACCGCTGCCGCCGCGCCGCCTCTGCTGCTACCCCGCGTGCAGCAAGGCGCTGATGTGCCACATCCGGGAGGGCGAGAGTTTACAGGAGGAGCTGCGCAGCACTCTGAAGCCCGAGGAGCTGGCCGGCCTGCTGGGCGCCACCCACCGCCCGCTGTACGTGTGCCAGCAGCTCACCAACCTGCTGCGCGCGGCGCAGCTGGCGGCCAACAAGGCGCGGTCTGGGGAGTGGGGCGGCGAGTATGCGGCCAGCATGGCGGCCTTCCGCATGGACGAGGGCGTGGGCACCTTCACGGTGAGGCCAGGGGCTGGCCGCTGGCGGCACGGGTGTGTGTTGGGCTTGTACATGTGTGTGCCGCTTCAGCCGCCCTGAGCACGCCCAGCCGCTTTCCCGTCCTGCCTGCAGGATGTGGCCGGCGCGTGCGAGCGTCTGCTGCGCACCCCCATCCCCCTGTCCTACACGCGGTGAGTGCTGCCGGTAGCGTCAGCTCGTGTGCGGGTGGCAAGGCATCGCACGTGCATCCCCTGTTCAGCCTGCCCTCCTCAGCCTCCTTCCCTTCCATTGCCCTGCCCCTCGCTGCCCCGCAGCCACACCTCACGCTTCATGATGATCTGGCTGACCCTGCTGCCCTTCACTCTGTGGACGGCCTGCCGCTGGGCCATGCTGCCCATCACCCTGCTCGTGGCGTTCCTGCTGCTGGGTGAGCCACGCCGCCCAGCTGGCACATGCCAGCAGGCTGATGCCTGGGTTTGGTAAAGCTGTAAATGTACAATGATTGGGGGCCCTGTCCACCAGAGGCTCCTCCGACCCCTTGCCCTGCCCCTCTGCTACCTGTTTGTGCAGGCATCGAGGAGATTGGCGTGAGCATTGAGGAGCCCTTCTCCATACTGCCGCTGGAGGCCATCTGCCGCACCATTGAGAGCAATGTGCTGGAGATACACGCGGTGGGGCCCGAGGTGCAGGCGCAGACGGTGGGCGCGTAGCAAGACTGCAGCAGAGTGCTGCAGCCCTTGCGGAGGGACCTGCAGCAAGCATAGGACAGTTTTGCATCGGTGGCACTTCTAGCGTCCCAGATTTAATCCAAGCCCTTTTCATCAACTCAACCTAACTCAAACGAATTTCAAATCCAATGCCTTCCCCTGCGCGGCAGTTTTTTTTTTCCCCCATCTTTTCGCCCCCCCGATTTCGTCGCTGTCACATCGAGGTTTCCCGGCAACGTTCCCTTGTAGGTTTGCTTTCCCGGGTTCCTTCCTGATTTCTTGCCCAGCAGCTGCACATCTGCACCTGTACAACACCGCGCTCTGCGAAGTATGCTCCTCTACCCTGTCAACTTCAAACACGGTCTTTGCATGTACTTGTTCCACGTCCAGTCATCCGATCCAGAGCGGAGTTGGCGAAACAAGTTAGAGAGCATAAGCGCAGCAAGGCAGCAAGTCACAGAGGAGGGGAGATGAAAAACAATGCAGAGGCAGAAGGGAACGGTTTGTGCCAGCACAATCGGCATGAAGGTGCAAGCCATGCTGCTGACAAGAAGTGGAATGAAACCATGGTTGAAAAATTCGTACAAAGTATTGGGAGGCATCAATGGGAAAGTGAAGGGAGTGTGGAGGGAGAAAGAGGTGCTGAGTAAACTTAGGAGGTGGGAAGGCTGAGGATAAAGGTAAAGGTGGGGAAGAGCCTCCACAGGCTTAACTTCCCGGTTTTAACGTCTAGCTTTAGACCATTATTTGATCTGCCCGACGCGCCAAGTGCAGTACCCCCCACTAGTAGTGAATGGGTCCCGGGGAGGCCTGTGCCGAAGCCTTGGCGATTCTAATAGGCGTTCCCGAAGGAATTGGCTTGGATTGGCGCTGAGCCGGTCAGCTATGCCGCGTTTGTCCTCACAAAGTTTCGACATGGGAGGAATCGAACCTGTGCCCTCTCGGAGGGTTTAGACACTAGCTCCAGCGCCTTCAAAGAAGGCCTTTCTTAGCCGCGAGCAACACTTTTATGCGTCAGTCTTGGTGTGTTGGGTTGGTCGTCGGTTGGGCCTTGCCCTAGTTGTTCATCGTTCCTTGCTCGAGTCCCCCGGCGCGGCCGGGCCCCGCGCCCCCCTCCCGCTCCTCTGGGGCCCTTCTTGAGCAACACCCTGCCTTGGGGACGCAGGACGAGGGCGACCGCAGCATCGCCGGCTCGCTTGGCCCGCCAGCCGCCCATTCTGCAACTGCCCGCACTCGAGATGGCCTCCTGATGGTGCGTGGAGGGGTGCCCCGGGCCCTGCGGCGCCCGCGGCTCGGCTAGTCCGGCGAACACCCCCTCGGGCCGGTGCCGGCTCCCGGCCCGTTGTATGAGCCCCCGTGTGCCCCGTTGGTGCCCGGCCACCCCCTCTGCGACTTGTTCGCCCCCTACGACGCGTTTTGTGCGCGCCAGCCCCTCCCCCCAATTCCCGCTTCCGTGTGTCGCGGCCCCAAGCCCTGGTGCTTTCCCTTCAGCGAATTGAGACGTGGGGTGGCGTGGCTTGGCGGAGGAGCCTGTTGCCGCCGAGCGATTTGCGTTCGGGCAGGCAGCTGCTGCTGCTGCCGCCGCGTGCCGGGCGGCCCGCCGTCCCCCCCTCTTTTCGCTCACTCCGTGCCTGCCGTTCTGGTCGTCACGCCCCTACTCTCCCCCCCGTAACCCGCAGATGCTTGCGCTTTTGCGCTTGCCCCGTCCTCCCCTTGCCCGGTC